CAGGTGCAACCAGAGAATGTTGTTGTCATGAGTGTAGTACTTGACGAAGCAACGACGCGATGTAATTGAATGAAGGCAGACCTGTTTTCAAGTCCTCATTAGTGGTGATATACTGAGGAGTTTAAAAACGTGTTTCGTGACTAGGCTTGATTGAATTAAAATGTCTAATAGACTGGATTAGTTCTGTATGCGGTGCTGCAAGGTGTTTAGTTCATGTTGTACGACACTCCGGTTTATGTCGCGGTGCCGTCTACGTGTCTGCGATGCGATGCGCTGTGCGAGGTCTGTGCAAACAATATCTGTTGTTCGCCTATAACCACATCACTGATAGATGGCCTGTGCTGTAACTACCGACAGCTATCGTGCAGTGCCACTATCGTCACGTACAGTGTCACGTCGTCGTGCAACGCCACCACAGTCGCCGGTCGTGCTTGACCACAGCTGTCGTGCCACGCCCACCGTTATCGTGTTGCGCCACATGCAGTCATCGTTCAACGCCCGCAGTCGTCCTGCCGTACACGGCCCAGTTGTCGCGCAGCGCCACAGACCTCAAGAAACGCCCACATTTGCCACACGACGCGATTTTCGTGTTAATACAGAGGTGGCGGCTCACCAACTCACCGTAGGCGCAACCTTTCTAGGAGGTCCGGGAGCATTCTCCCCCTTAAATACTAGTAGTTGAATTCACGACCCACTGAAAAGCTATTTCCTGCATTTTGAGAGGCAAATTTTGCTGATCCACTGAAAGGGTTTCAGCTCGATTTTGGAGGGGCGACGCCCCCTGAAATATACAATTGATGTCGAACGGGACGTGGTGTAACGACCTTGACTTTTAAAAAAAAAAACATCAAGAAAATGTCAGTGTCTGAAATTTTAAATGACTATCACCCCTCCCCAACGCATGAACATTAGACTTATAGTCCATGTAAGGACACCATTACTGTTACCTTGGGAACCCTCAACTATTTCCCCTGCAAAACACTCTTATAAAACGCGATGAGCTATTTCGAGATATGTGACTAGCGTGTTCACACATGATGACTGCTTCTCCATTTCGGGAAATTGAAAACAAATGCCGAATCTTTGTTTCCGAAAAAGCTGCACTATGCGCAGATATGCACGTAGGCGCGTCCTCGCCCATGTCGAGTGTCCAGCGTAATATACACAACAATAGCGAAACACGCCTATAGGAATATTGGGAATGCCTTTTTTGGCGTTTTTATGATTCCATCAGTGCCCTATTAGTAGTGATATAGTGGAACTTCTTATACAGTATGTAATTAAAATTCACCTAGTGCTACACGACGAATACAGACTTGATTATCTGCGCTGAGTCTTCAGTTTCATCTCAAATTTAGTACGTCCGTTACAATCGTTATGAAACGTACTATCAATGAATAGACAAACAAACAAACATAATGAATAAATAAATAAACAAAAAACAAACAAAAAAAGAATAAAAAACAAACAAACAAACAACAAACAAACAAACAAACAATAAATAAATAAATAAATAAATAAATAAATAAATAAATAAATAAATAATAAATAAATAAATAAATAAATAAATAAATGCGTACTTTCAACGGCTTCGGCAAAATAATAGGGATGATATATCTTGATAGTAAAATTAGCCGTTAATGTTTTATTATCCCGAATGAGAACAACGGGGTAGCAAGCAACACACAAACCTTTAAATTCGATTAGCCCCCAGTGGAGGAACTCATTCAAAAGTGTCATCCATCTTTTTGTCGTCTACAACATTATAAGGCCGGTAGCATACAAAATGACGTCAGAATCAAGAGGTACGCTGGGAGAGGCCGATATCAATATTTAGCAAACGACCATGACTGACTTCTACTTGAGGAATAAAATATATTATCCGTTCGTCAATATTTCAGATTACATGCGATATATTTACTAGTAACAGAAAGTCCCGGGCTTGAATGTGATGGGATATAGATGACTATATAAAGTGCATCGTTTTCCAAACGAAGAGATACCGTAATTGTGCATCTTACGCTTTAATAAGGGACTAGTCATTGGAACTCTGGGTGGGTCCATGACAAAAACATTGTGCATTTTTGTTTTCGTTTTACTCAGGTTAGTGCTAATTGTTTGTTTTTTCTAAAACGAATTTGCTATAATTTCCTCCACTATGTGGAATAATTTTTCTTAAAGATTTATGCGAGCAGATTTTTTCTTGTGCAATTGTTTTTTTCTAATTCTGCCATCGCCCCGAGTTTTTAATAGTAAACCTAATTGAGTGATTGAGACGGTATTGGACCATGGTGCGTCATCAGATACTTCGCATTCCAACGCCGTACATGCTAGTTCAATCACGCATGAATATAAACACCCATGTGACGTCATGACAATGTTTTGCGTACTTATCGAAGGCAACACACAACAACACGTGACGTCCGACAATCACTTTTTATTTCCTGTTGTAAAAAGTGTCGGTCAGTGACCTCAATAGACAAATGCCCGGCTCGTACTACGCCCAGTTAATGTACGTCATCGTACCGTTTAAAAATCCTACTAGGGAGCGTGTAATTATGACGTAACAGCGCCGTCAAGCGAAAACAACAATCATACAGGTAAACAAGCCATGCAAACAGTAACAGTTGTTATATTCTCGCACAAAATAATTAATCGCAAATTATTGAATAGAATAGAATAGAATAGATTAGAATAGAATAGAATAGAATAGTCATTATGTCAAGGTTGTGTTCAAGGCCACAGGGGTTAGTTAGTCAGCCAGATGTCCCACTTAAACGGAAGTGAACAATATCTTCTGGAATCGCGTTTCCTAGTATATGATACTTGGAACTTTCAAGGTCGCATGGTGCGACAAATTCTGATAAAATACACATTATAGTGAAAAAATAAAAGTGCGATTGAAGATATTGCAATAATTTGCAGCGTTACGTCACGTTAATATCTCTCAAAGATATGGAAAGTGATCACCGTGAATGAAATTTTCTCTCTCTCAAGAATAAATGATTAAATAAATAAATAAACAAACAAACAGACAGACAGACAAACAAACAAACAAACAAATAAGTAAATATTATGTAAATTAATTAAAAAACTAATAGTTACATACTAGCAAGACCAAAGCATTTAATGCATATATTATGTATGGACTCAAATGATTTTTGGGTAGTCTGGGAATACAAATGTGTTTGAAGTATCGGGTTGACTTGGGTTAGCTCGTACATGACTCGCGTTACTTATATTGTTACCTGTATTGTGTTAGTTTGTACCTGACTTGGTATAGTTCGTGCCTGACTCGATATTCCCATAGTACGACATCAATATTGATTTTTTAGATTTTTTGAACAAATTGCATATTTTGATACTTTCAGCTCACTGAAACCATTTTTCCTGACCCTGCTCAGCATAAAAACCCAAATGAAAATTTTTATGAATTACAGAAGTTTGCTTTGGAGAAGGTTAAAGGTTAAAGCAATAGGTATTTTGTGGAAAAATGTAAAAAAGTTTCAGAAATGAAGCAATGTAAACAGATTTGAAATAATATTTGAATAAACACAAACATGCGCACTTTTTGACATTATTTTGTTACACTTAAAAACATATTTCAAGCTCGGACTTGATATTAGTGAAGAGCTAACATATGGCCGAATTTAGATTCACTCTAAAACAACACAAAAAATAACCCAAAACGAACATATTTATGCTGCAGCACAACATGGGCGTACGACCTATTAATTAAATAATAGCAATCATGTTTTTTTTTATATAGTATTCGTCAGAATTTCGGGACTACCATAATTACACATCTTATAACTGCATATTCTCGCCATAGGAACCCTAAATCGCCATTTTGTCCGAAGAGTAGTTCGGTGACCATATATTTTTAATCTGGATTTATCTGGATCTGGGTGAAAAATGGCGTAAAATAATGATATTTATTCATTCTGTGTGAAATCCGATGTAGGAATAGGCTCCAACTATCATTATTGTTTTTTTAATTTTTGATTTGTTTTGATACCTTTCGTTTATTTGTGGCTATTTTGTTTGCAGTTATTCGGTTGTTCATATATTGCGATCGAGATGCGATATATAACAAGCGTAATGCCGACAAGTTAAAATAGTCATAAATGAACAAAAATAATAAAATAAACATGGAAATTAAGGTAGAAGCCTAGTCATAATTTTTGACACTAAATTGGTCATAAATCGCATGACAATGTTCATTAGTTTATTATGTACAATCATGAAGCTAATGTCCCATGATAAATTGAAATAACATTATTTTGTGTGTTACAGTTAAGCTTTTAGAGAAACGTGTCCTAAAAATTTCTTTGAAAATTGCTATTTTTAGAACAATTCCATAAAACCCAATGTTAAAGAAAAAATGCATTTTTTGACACCCAGATTTAAAGCCCAGATTTTTTTAAATAATTCATAACAACAACAAGTACTCCTCATTAACAATATATGATTGTTTCAGCCTATATCACCAGACTAGATTTTGAGACACTGCATAATCTCTGCCATAGGAACCTATGGTAAAAGTGTTATAACAGTGTCAAAATGGCGACTTTCCACTAAAATACAACCATCATTTTCCCGGAAAAAGGCTGGTGACCCCCAATTTTTTTGGGGCCAATATCCCTGTATTGCCTTGGAGTACAGTTTATTGCAAAATTAATAAAGTCTGGGTATTTTAATTTATGAGTAGGCTTCTACCTTAAAAAAATAATAAAACATATTTGAAGCCTATCCTACATCAGATGTTAATCAGATTTGGAATTATTGTACCACTGAAAGGTTACAACAGAATGACAAGATTTCAATAATAGTTTAAAGAATTATAAAGGATATGATTTGTCACTTCTTTTTTTAGCGTGTTTCAGGGTCCGAACACAGGAATAATACGAATCAAGGATGCAAATACTTGTTTAGATAGGGCGCCACCTATCATTTAATGACCTCGTCCAATTCAGTTAGTTTTTATTTTTACTCGAGCAGGATATGCTGCAGACTGCGTGCAGCTATGCGGCCGGATTTTCGATAAAAAAAAGACGTTATAATGGAGACTAAGACTGAATTCGTGATTCCTCAAAGTCACCAGAGTGTTCTAGAGAAGGCTAAAGACCGGGTTCAAACGTTATTCGACGTTTGTGTGGTGCTTGCCAATCTTGTTGCTGACGGCGGAGGCAAACAGTGGATCCAAGTCACTGGTCAATATGAACAAACATCGAAAGCCAAGGTGAGCACTACAAACCACAAACACTGAAATCCTACTGATTTATACAATGTACAATCTGTATCGACTCATAACGGTGACGCCATATGGACGTTAAAATAATCGTCGAATTTCATATACGGATTCAATCGCCGTGCTATGTGTGTTTTTAGTGGCGGAACTGACAAGTTTTAATTTTTTAAAATCGTTTCCGGGTTCAGCGACATTTCGCATCGATTCGCGCGCTGTTTATGGCGATGATTTAGCACTTTCATACCTATGCTTATGAAACAGCGAAAGGCTTATTTTATGTCGTATTTCCAAGAATTATTAGAAATCGCCTGTATACGTAGTATATGCCGTAGAATGCTAGTAATACGTTGAGTAAAATCCCACGTCGTATGCTAATAAAATAATGCTATTTTTTTTTTTTTTTACAAAAATCGAGTGCGTAAAACATGAACTGCTTAACTGCAAAAACTCTCATTTTGAGTTAGAGTATGTGTTGATGTTGGTTTATACTAAATTAGCCAAATATTAGTTGTGGTCAGGCTACATGGAGTATAGGCTACGATTTAAGCTAATCTCGTACGTTTGCATATCTACTAGACTCAATTGATTTCACATGGGGGAAGAAACAACAGTTAGAGCAACTAAGGAACACCCAAACTTGTTAAAAATATACAAATTGTCAGTCCTTTTAACTATGATTACCCGGTACCCTGTATACATGTTATTTCCAGGGTTATACAACAATACTAAATAAAATTCTGAAAGTAAAAAATTACATATTTTCATCTTCAGTTCTAAATTTTTTTCTTGAGAACATTGTTCCTAGATGTGCTTGCATTGGTTGTCATGTCGGAAATGGCATACTGAAATTAATAGTTATAAATATAATAATGAATCTTCCAAATGGATGGCGTTTTGTACGCTTAGCCCGAGCTTAAGCGTTCACTCACACTTTGTTAGCCTGTGCTAGGGATCTGGGCTGAGTCTTAAAAACAGATCAGATTTAACCTGTATCTAGCATTTCTTACCTCATGCTAAGCGTTTATGCATTTTTTCTTAGCACAGGTTTACATTTTTGACATCTTAGCCCGTGCTATAAGGAGCTCTGTGCGAAAACAACGTTATATTAAATCTTATACCTCAAAGATGTATTGAACATATCAATTTTGTTCTTTGCTTTTATTTTTTTTTAAAAATGGTCCGTTACTCTTGCATACGTAATATAAATACTACCGGTAGCTCGGTAAGAGTGAAAAAATGGTAAAAAATAATACAAGATACACTTCTAAGTATATATTTAAACGTTGCCTTGCATCAAAAACTGGTTTTGTCAGCATTATTCAATTGCTAACAATACCATAATTATATACATTTATTGTGTATGGTACTGTAGCACAAGTAAACGTGACTTAGAATAGAATAACAATTCCAAAAATAGACTTAGTTATAATCAAATTTAGAAAGATCATGATTCACTAGTTGCTTGATGTTACTCTACAGGTTTGAAGTACTTTCTTTGGAAAATGTCACAATTATTAAAGGAAATGCATATTTTTAATATAAACATTTTTTTGTGTTGTTTTTCATAAAATATAAATCTTTTTGTACTGAAGTGTGTTAATTTACCAATCTGACACTTACAGTAGTTCTGATAAAAAAAAAAAAATTTTTTTGGGTCGCCTTTCTTGAAAAAAGCAAACTAGTTTTTCCAATATTTTCAAAATTTGTTTTCCTGGATTGACTTACTCATGCCAGTTTGGGTTTACAGTGAAAACATTTTATTTTGCAAACCTCACTTTTTATTTCTTGTGCACATACTCGGAATTTGAAATGATTTCTGAAATTTGATGTTCCTGGTTATGGCTGCACTGATTAAAATGCTGAAAATTCTGAAAACCTGCTTTTAAGCTATTCCATGAATTGAATCATTCGGGAATCATCGGACTTTCTATTAACTTATATGGAAGTTGATACCGATGGACAACCGCTTGTGTTCTATCCAAGTTTCATTATTTCTCTTTCATCCCACAAGGACATCCGCATTATGTTACTGTAGACAAAGGCTTAGTGCAAACCTGGGAAACCCCCTTTTTGTAGCCTGGTAGGGCACCTTATTTTGAATTGAACAATAACATGTCCCTTTTTACTCACTACTACTTTATGGTGACAGAACAATTATTTTGTTCAGACAAATAATTATGTAGTGTAAATTTTAGTATTTATTAAAGGGGAAAAACTAAGCTTTGAATAACAATACAACTTTTAATTAATTTCTCATGACCTGCATGCAAACCTGTGTGTGTGTGTGTGTGTGGGTGGGCGGGCGGGGGTGGTGGGTGTTGGTGTTATTTTTATACTTAGCACATTGTTTATTTTTCTTCAATTGCTTTGTTAATTTTGAATCAGATAGGCATAACTTTTCATGTGTTAAGGATCTCAATTCAAAATTTAAAAATAAATATAGAAAATATTATGATGACAAAAAGTGACTTTTTTTTTTTTTTTTTTTAAATATTTTTGTGCCAGGCGACAGTTCTAGACATTGAATGTCACTGTTGTCTCTCCTGACTTTTTTTGTATGTACAAATTGCAAGTGCTAGTGCTGACACATAGTGCATTTGCCACAGAAGTCATATTCATGTTTTGGGACTACATGACAGGGCTGTGTGGCCATCTCTCTGTCAAATGGCAATTTTAATGCGCTATCCTGGCGTCAACCAGGCTCGGTCGAACACAAGCACCTGCGGTCCTTAACCAAGGTTCCCCCAAAGTCGCATTCGTTAGTGAATGAATCTCGGCCAGTGGAATTGGCCTTCCCATTGAGTCTGTGGCACAAAAGTGACTTTGATTAATTCAACAAATTAATTAGACTGATCAAAATATTTTATAGACTTTGTGTTAGTGTTCATTTAAATCTTGTGATTTTAAAAGCATAATTTGACCCCAATAGTTCTCCCCCCTTGTGCACACTAAAGGCGGCACAAGGTCGTTTGACTTCTGTTGTGTTCTCACCGTCAGTCACATGTACTGGTGATTGCATACCCTGGATCTATTGGCTTTTTACTGGTTCCTGGAAACAACTCTCAAGGTTCTAAGAAATTCAGCAGCTGCAGCTTGCTTTAACATTGAAAATGTCTTAATGAACCATTTAACACTGAATAATGGCTACCGTTATATTTTGCATGACAAAAGAGGTACATGTGTATAGTACCTGTGTTGTATGTATGAAAAAAAAAAAACTTGTAATATTTACTTAATACTTAATATTTTTTTTTCAGCAATAATAGCTGAGATTTTGTACATTTCTTTGTTTAAATATAACCACATAATAACCATATATTTTAAATATTATTTACACAATTTAGTAGGCAGTGAAACACAACACATGGCTAACTTCCTAAAACATGCAAGGTGTAGTTATCATTTCATTGAAATATTTACGTGATCAGAACCAAAATGTTTTCTCAAAAAATAAAAATCAGAGAATAAAGATCGATAGTTACAGGTGATACAATATTTAAAAGAGTGCAAATATGAATTAGTATTGATTTTCTGTGACAAAAAAAAACAACTGATTTGATCATTTTCTAGTACTCAAATAATGCACCATTGTGTGCTGGTAAAGTGTAATTTTTTGCGATTTGATTTACCGGTAATAAAATTTGTGAGAATGAATTTCGCGAAAGTCTGTTTGATTGCACGTCATGTCACAGTTTCATTGACTTTCAAAATTCGCAAAAAACTGTCTCTCGCATAAATTAAAATCTGTTTACAATGTTTTAACAGAGCCCCTGCATTTTCGTAAATCGTGTCTAGCAGAACAAGGCTCTTTATCCACTTAATCCACACCATTAAATGCATGGAACGTTATGGTATTGTTGCAGAATCCGATATTTGAGATAATGATTGGGAATTTCACATTTCTTGTTTAATAAGCATATTAAATGATGTAATGTAATATAATCAGTGTACTCAGTTAAATTTGGGAGAAATTGCATGATGTCATCTCTTGATATATTACTAGGAACCCTGGGATATCATGTTGTTTACTGCTTGGTTTACTACATCAGCGATTTTAATAAAACCATAAATACTGTTTTAAAACTCCTGACATTTACAATAATTTATAGCACCTATTCAACTCATAAAAAAATACGTCAGTTGGATACATTTTTTTTCTGAAACCAAATAACATCAATGTGGATAATGCACAGGTTTAATAACTTGAAAAGCTAAGGAAGATAAATTATTTAACGATGAAAGCAAACTCATAAATGAAATTACCTAAAATTTATTCATTTTGCAATAAATTGTACACAAAGGCAGTACAAGAATTTGGCTTAAAAAAAGTTGGGTTTTTTTTGGGGGATATAAAAAAAAAATTATTAGTAGTTGCCATTTGGCAGTATTGTAACGCTTTTACCATAGGTTCCTATGGCAGAGATATTACTGTATGCTCAAATTGTAGGTTGGTGTCCTAGGCTGGAAAAATCATTGCTAAAGTGCCTGTGAAATGGTTGCTATTTTCACACTTAAAATTATCCATTGATACATAAATATTATTAATTTTTATGTTTCTAAGCATAAATTATTTTTTTAAGTGAAAAAGTGCCTTTTTAAACTCAGTGTACGGCAACTTTATTTTTGTGTATTTTAAAACAGGGCTCCTTAATAGCTTCTCATTTGCATACAGAAATTCCCCCTGTGACGTCAGATGGGGAAGTTGCTGGGCAGCTTGCATTGCCGATACATGAAAATAAGGCAAATTTCTTGTGCTGTTTTCTCGTCTTTGACTAAATTTTCACTTATGTGCTTGTTCGTCGAGGAAGAATGACCCATAATGAACACATAGTATCAAGTTTGTTGCATGGGGTTGAGTCAGATGCGAAATATGTCCGGTCTGGTGTAGCTAGTCACCGTGGTTGTCACAGTCACCGACACATGTTTGTACACTGTTGCTGGACTCCGGCACTGGATAAAATCAAATTTGACGCCTGAATCGTCTTGTTATT